TTCTGGGCAAGGCGCCGCCGCAACCCGTATGAGGTCGACCAAGATCCCACTTTGGTCAACCGTCCATTCTGGAACAGGTTCCAGTTTGCCATCTACTTTGATGTTCTCAAAGCCAAGAAGAATCTCTATGTCAACGTGCACTCCATCGACACCGAGCATATGGAGAACGATCCTGACTACTTTGGTGAAGCTCTTTAGATGTGCACTCAACTAAACATTCTCGGGATCATGCAATTCAACAAGGACTATGATGCTGATATTGTGGCCCAATTCTATGCCACGGTTTATCTTGGGACTGATGAGGACGGGACACTGACTTGGATGACAAATGGCAAGTTGCTTTCAGTCAAGTGGAAAGCTTTCATGCAGTTGATTGGGGTGGAAGATCTAGGTCTTGAGTCTCCTGTCGGCTTTCGCCCCCACCGTCACGCCAATGCCACTCACAAGCAAGCTCTGTGGCCCTACTGCACTCTGAGGATCAACCCTGAGACAAAGAAGGAAACCTATGAACTGCCTGCCTATCTGGATATTCTTCACCGTATCTTCAGAGAGACTCTTTTCCCTCGCATCGGGAATCTGGACCAGGTTCACTCTTATCTCGTGGACATGCTTCTCTTCTGTCAGCGGGAGAAGGGGCAGAGCACCGGAGAGTCCTTGGATATCTCTCATGTTATGTGGTCTGAGCTGGTTTCTGCTATCTCCGGGCGTAAGTGCCCGATTTATGGTCCGTTCATTATGCTGCTCATTGAGAAGGCCTGGGATCGTGTCTATCCCAAGGTGGTGCTGGAGATTGGAGAGTTGGTTTCTCACGATGTCAAGCGTCTGAGGAAGAAGGATAACTGGGGCACTCAGGCCCCTAGGACTGGAGTTCCTTCATCCGCTGCTGCCATGGAGGTTGAGGAGGAGATTGGGGCTGAGGCTGAGGATGAAGATGATGACTACGTGCCTTCTGAGGCAGAGCCCTCTTGGGCCAAGAAGCTCAAGATCAAGGTGAAGAAGCTGTTTTGCATGGAGTCTCACGGTCAGTACATGACTCATGTGGCTGAGAAGAAGGCACGAGGTCGCCACAAGGAGCTCATGCGTCAGATGGGTGCTATTGTGATTGGTGGTTCTGAGGATCAGCTTACCGAGGAGGAGTAGTGGTTTCAGCAGCACTGCCCATGGACTGATTCTGATGCTGAGCACTTCTCGGCTGACGATGGTAGCGCAGATGATCCCTCTGAGATCTGATGGGTGTCCCTCGTTTGCCTTCACCTAGAGCCGTAGCAGCACTCCCTCTCCTTTTTGGTGTCTCGATGCCAAAGGGGGAGAGAGTTTAGGGAATTGTGCTTTGTGTCTTGTGCCTTGTGTCTTCCGTCTTCTGTGTTTGTGCTTTCGCTTGTTGCTTTATTTGGTTTGTGTTAGTGAGACCTAAGTTCTGGTTCTGTCAGTTAGACCTAAGCTCGAGTCATATGGTGTGAGACATATGCTACCTTACCTTTCCAGTATCACTATCTATGTCTATCTAGCTTATGAGTTGCATGCTTATCCTGTTATCTCTATGTTGCTCTCATATATCTTTCTTAGGTAGTTGGTCTCTAAAATGTAGGGGGAGCATTGATCCTGGCATCTGTGCCGTGCAGTCCAAAACACTTATCGTAGCACACATCCAGGGGGAGCCCTTCTACATTTTAGGACGGTTGTGTTTTTGCGCTTATCCTATATCTATCATATTGTGCAAATCCTGTATTGTCATCAATCCACCAAAAAGGGGGAGATTGTAAGGGCATATTTATCCCCAAGATGTTTTGGTGATTGATGATAATGCTTGTGCGGACCAATCGTGTGCGTTTAGTTCTTTCAGAGATTCATCCATTGGCACAAGACGATTTCCTCCCCTCGGTGTTGTATTCAAGACGGTGTAGCTCCTTCGTTTCATTGTTGGTGGACTAGTTTTGTAGGAGTCACCGTACTATCAAGAGGGGATCCGCTTTGGTAAGACTTGGGTGGAATCACACGTACACATCCTTATCACACCCGTCGTCTTTCCTTCCGCATCTCTGGAGCTGCCGTTTTCCCCTTGCTATGCTTTGCTCTGCCCCAGCGGTAGTACCGCGACCACAGCGGTAGTACCGCCGAAGCTCCCCAGCGGTAGTACCACTCCAAGCGGTAGTACTGCTCTCCGAACGATAGTACCGCTTGGGATTTTCGGCCGTAGTACCGCTGTGCTCTGGGCTACTTCCGCCTCGATTCTCGAACGAAGTTTTTCGTGTCGGGTTTTGCGACACTAAGGGAGGTAGTAGGAGCGGTAGTACTGCCCTAAGCGGTAGTACCGCTCTTCCCTAGCGGTAGTACCACCCTGGGGTCAGGGCCCTGGCAGCGCGGCAGTACCGCTGGGTTGAGCGGTAGTACCGCCCTTCCCTAGCGGTAGTACCGCTCTATGCGGGGCTGGTGAGTGGGATAACGGTTGGTTTGTTCCCCCCACTATATAAAGGGGTCTTCTTCCCCAAAGTTGACCTACCTCTTTCCCCCAAAGCTCCATTGTTGCTCCAAGCTCCATTTTCGCCCAATCTCTCTCTCTAGCCAATCAAACTTGTTGATTTGCTCGGGATTGGTTGAGAAGGCCCAAATCTACACTTCCACCAAGAGAAATTTGATTCCCCCCACTTATCCCTTTCTGATCTTGTTGCTCTTGGGTGTTGAGCACCCTAGACGGTTGAGGTCACCTCGAAGCCATACTCCATTGTGGTGAAGCTTCGTGGTGTTGTTGGGAGCCTCCAAGTGTTGTGGAGATAGCCCCAATCTTGTTTGTAAAGGTCCGGTTGCCGCCTTCAACGGCTCCAATAGTGGAATCACGACATCTCGCATTGTGTGAGGGCGTGAGGAGATCACGGTGGCCCTAGTGGCTTCTTGGGGAGCATTGTGCCTCCACACCGCTCTAACGGAGACGTACTTCCCCTTAAAAGGAAGGAACTTCGGTAACACATCCTCGTCTCCACCGGCTCCACTCTTGGTTATCTTGTCCCTTTACTTTTGCAAGCTTACTTAAGTTATATCCATTGCTTGCTTGTGTGCTTATTGTCTTTGCATCATATAGGTTGTCCACATAGTTGCACATCTAGACAACCTATTTCATTGCAAGGTTTAAATTGTTAAAGAAAAGTCTAAAAATTGTTAGTTGCCTATTCACCCCCCCTCTAGTCAACCATATCGATCCTTTCAGCCCGGAAGACTGACTTGAAGAAGAGGCGCCGACATCCATCCAAACACGGGCCCTGCGAGGATTAAAACCCTACATATCAACTAGCCTGATCCGAGGCACCAGAAATCCCCTCCCCGCCACCGGCCGCTGGAGCGGTGGGGGGAGGGGAGGCAAATCCACAGGCTCATCGGTAAAGATCAAGAGGACGAAGGTTTTCCTTAGTCACCTTGCGAGAGGGAAAGAAAAGCACATGTGATCTCATTTGTAAAAAGGGTCTCCTCATCGATCGGTCAACCGTGTTGCGTTATATATATAATGGGACGAAAAACTTTTTTTTAACATGAAGCTATTAAAAAGAAGGGTGAAACATGAAGTTAAGTTTTAGAGGAAAAAATAGTGGACACTATTCCCATCAGCCGGCGGATGCTACTCTTGCGTCCATCTTCTCCATCGGTAGACACGTGTCCTCATGGTTCGAAGCAGCACGTGCCCCTTGTCTAGAAACATCGCGAGCATTACATCTCCTTTCCCGCCTCTTTATGCCTGCTTACAGCCATGGCCATCACTCGAGTGCCCACGCCCGAGCATCGCTCTAGGTACCATCGGCCCAGCTGCGCCGCTCCAGCCTCCCGTCTCGCCCTCCGCAGTCGCTCCGGCCGGCGATGCATTTTACACTTTTCGCAACAAGAACTTTGTTGCAAAAGTCCTCCCGCAACATCATCTTTGTTGCATAAATTTCTTGATTCACACCGCACACGACGTCATAACTTTCGGTGAAAAATCTCCGCAACATCATTAATGCAAGTCCTCCAGCAACACCAACTATGTTTCAAAATGTAAAGGCGAAAAAAAATCTCGCAACACTGCCTATGTTGCAAAATTCCTCCCGCAACATCATCTATGTTGCAAAAAAGGTGCAGACGAAAATTAAAAAAATTCAGGCAAAAAATAACGCTTTCAGTGTTTTTGCAACAAAGCTGCTGCTGCAGAGCGAGCTACATCGGGGAGATCTGACGGCTATATGTGGCTCAATCCAATGGCGCGGGAGGAGGTTGATGTTCTCAATTAAACCGGGGCAAACGTCGGGCCGGGCCGGGTTTCGGGCCGGGCTTGTAAAAGCCCGACCTTCATTTCTCAAGCCCGAGCCCAGCCCGAAGCCTGAAATACTCCCTGATTTCAAACCCGAGCCCGGCCCGAAATCAAGCTCGAAGCCCGAAAGCCCGGCCCGAACGCCATTTTTTAATACATGGACGTGAAAGCCTGGCCCGAAGCCCGAAAGCCCGGCCAAAAATAGAAAAAGAGAAGCCCGAGCCCGGCCTGAACTACATTTCGGGCTGCAAAACAAAGCCCGAGCCCGGCCCAGGTTTTTCGGGCCAGGTCGTCGGGCCGGGCTGCCCATGCCCGGGTTTATTCTCAATTAATTTTCCTGGCAGACGCGTAGCGTTCCCAAAAAATAGAGTCAAGGGTGCATTTTGCAAAGTGCAGTCTCTTCCATTTTCTTAACGTGTCTCTGCTGCAACCTGCGTGGGTCGTCACGAGGCTGGCGGAGTCGTCGAGGAGGCAAGGGGTGAGGGTCGGGTCGAAAACGACACACCTCTTGGAAGGCCTTGTGACCGTTCGATCCGTCCAAGGGCTAGCTGCCTTTTGGCTCCATCGGAGTGTCCTCCAACGCGGCGGAGATCTATTTCTATCCCCCGGAACCCTCCGCCCCTTCCCCCCAAATCTCTCCGCCGCCTCGCCACCCTCATCTCAGCCTCAGCCTCACCCTCACCCTCACCCTCGCCGCCGACCCCCAGCCCCTCTCCCCAACCCCTGCCCGATGACGTCCCCGGCGCCAGCGCCGCCAGCGGCCGCCGCGGCGCAGTCCCCGCCCCCGCGCATCGGCCTCGCCGGCCTCGCCACCATGGGCCAGAACCTCGCGCTCAACATCGCCGAGAAGGGCTTCCCGATCTCCGTCTACAACCGCACCGCTGCCAAGGTCGACTCCACGCTCTCCCGCGCCGCCGCCGAGGGCGCGCTCCCGGTCCTCGGCCACCGCGACCCGCGCGACTTCGTGCTCTCCCTCGCGCGCCCCCGCACCGTGGTGCTCCTCGTCCAGGCCGGCCCCGCCGTCGACGCCACCATCGACGCCCTCTCGCCCTACCTCGACGCCGGCGACGCCATCGTCGACGGCGGCAACGAGTGGTACCAGAACACGGAGCGCCGCATCGAGCAGGCCGCATCCCGGGGCATACTCTACCTCGGCATGGGCGTCTCCGGCGGCGAGGAGGGCGCGCGGAACGGCCCCTCGCTCATGCCTGGCGGCGACTTCCAGGCCTACAGCAACATCAAGGACATCCTGGAGAAGGCCGCGGCTCAGACGGAGGACGGCCCGTGCGTCACGTTTGTCGGGCCCGGTGGTGCCGGCAACTTCGTCAAGATGGTGCACAACGGGATCGAGTACGGTGATATGCAGCTCATCGCCGAAGCCTATGATGTGCTCCACCGTGTTGGTGGCCTCTCAAACTCGGAGATAGCCGATGTGTTTGCTGAGTGGAACAAGGGAGAGCTGGAGAGCTTCTTGGTTGAGATTACTGCAGATATATTCACAGTGGCTGATCCACTGGAGGGGAGCACCAGTGGGGCGCTGGTTGACAAGATTCTTGACAAGACCGGGATGAAGGGGACCGGGAAGTGGACGGTGCAGCAGGCGGCGGAGCTTGCAGTCGCTGCACCCACCATTGCAGCATCACTGGATGGGAGGTACTTGTCGGGGCTCAAGGATGAGCGAGTTGCAGCCGCAAGTGTGCTAGAGGAAGAGGGGATGCCAGTTGGGCTTCTGGAGAAGATTAATGTCGATAAGAAGGTGCTGGTGGACAGGGTGAGGCAGGCACTTTATTCGTCGAAGGTTTGCAGCTACGCACAGGGGATGAATCTGCTAAGAGCCAAGAGTGTGGAGCAGGGCTGGAATCTTAACCTTGCCGAGCTTTCAAGGATTTGGAAGGGTGGATGCATTATTCGGGCAAGGTTTCTTGATAGGATTAAGAAGGCTTATGACAGGAACCCTGAGCTGGCCAATTTGATTGTCGACAGGGAGTTCGCCAGGGAGATGGTGCAGAGACAGGGCGCATGGCGGTGGGTTGTGGCCCGGGCAGTAGAGGCCGGCATCAGCACTCCAGGGATGTCTGCGAGCCTTTCATATTTTGATACCTACAGGTGCAACCGGTTGCCAGCGAATCTGATCCAAGCACAGAGGGACTTGTTTGGGGCACACACCTATGAGCGCATTGACCGCCCAGGTTCTTTCCACACTGAGTGGACTAAGCTGGCGAGGGAGGGCAAGTGAATGACTTTGCAGCCACCTGAGGAATTCGGTGGTACCATATGTGGTCTTGGTGACTCGGGGTGATATCTCTTCGTGGTTCTCTTTAATTTATCTATTGCTGTTTTTGCAATACGAGATCTGAATTGTGTACCTTGAATAATGCAGTGTCTTGTGCTGTATGCACCTGAAGAACATTTGTGTAGCTTCAGGTTTTCTATGGTTTAGATACACCCAGTTTTATCCACTCATAAGTTCGGAACTCATGGTTTTAATACCTCACATCCCAATGTTGCCTTGGAATTGTGATTTCAAAGATGTCAATATGGTGGTAAGAGTGGTGACTGATGTTTCTCTACTTCCATGAATCTATTTGAGGTTGTCTAGTGTTGTAAGATATTTCATTTCACCTGCTGTGCTGTCATCCTACTGTGGATTGTGGAAGATAGCTCTGGTCCTGGGGAGAATATCATCTTGTTATGGGCGTGGCCATGCCATACGGCATGTATTCAAAAATATATTAAAGATGGAAGTTCTGTTTGATTGTAGAATGATACAAAAGGAAATCATAATTAATGGCCTGCTCATTCTCAGTGAAATGTTTTCATGTTTGTTCGATAGCAAACCTGGACATTTGTTGCAAATGATCATTTTTCTTGTTATTGTTTCAGCTTTGTGTTCCAGGAGAACACTGAATTATATCAGAGAGGTAAGAGGTACTTGTTTAGTTTTAGGAATTTATGCAGTACGTTTTTCAACCGGTCAAACTCAAACCTTTGATAAGATATGTAACTTCTTTTCCAGATTAATCCTTTCTTCATGTTGATCATGTTTCACTTCTTTTTACATGATGTAGTGGAAAGAATATTTCCCAACGAAGAGTTAGTGCAGACACCATACTTGGATGCAGAAGTCCTCTTTTATCCAAAGATTGTTTGTGTTTATTTGCCATGGAGACAAGCAGAATGTGAGTTATTCCTCCTCAAGGAGTATATGTTGAGCTGATTGAAAATATTTATGAACTTGTCGACGGTAGTACAGCTATGCAATATCTGAATTTATTTGTTCATCTGCAGCAGTATGTATGCATTAAATTTAGTGCTTGTTTATCTGTATACTGTGGTGAATACTTGTATCAATGCCCATGTCCCTTCTTTTTTGTAATGGTATCCTGTTGCAAGGGCTTGAGTTTTCCAGTAGTTAGAACAAGTTGTAAAAAAAAATTGAGCTGAGTCTGTTGTATATACACTAATTCGCAGGTCGCAACCAGAACCAGTACAACAGATGCATTTGGATGCTAGTGAAATCTGGAAAAAGGCGAAGAAGCTCAGGAGATACTGAAGGTCTTATTTTCACCATCTACATGATCTAAATATTTGTTTGCATTGTTCTACTCCCTCCGTTCGGAATTACTTGTCTCGGAAATGGATGTATCTAGAACTAAAATACATCTAGATACATCCATTTCTACGACAAGTAATTCCGAACGGAGGGAGTATTTATTAGTTCTTCTGCCACCTACTACAGTCTCTTGACTCTAGTGTTCTCAGAAGGGAACATTGTCAAAGGACAATTTTGCTCTTTCAGCGGTTTTCAGATGAACAACAATAGCGAACCGGCCATGTTCCGAAAGCGTTCGTGTGCTTACCGTCAAAAGTTATCGGCCATCATCCAAGAACCGTCTTCGACAATAATGCATAGGTCGAACTATGAGCATAAGATGCTTCTCACCTTATGCTCCAGCCTGTTCGCTAATGGTTTATTTTTTTTTGCGGGGTAAAAGAGATTTTCGTTGCTTAGTTTCTCTAATCAAATGGTTGCAGGCAGGAGAATTTACGGAGGTGGAGGACGGTGGGGATGTCGTGGGAGAGCGACGGGATACAAGGGTGGGCCCACCTCAATTCAAGGGTATTTAGTTGAATACCCATTATTTTTGGCAAAAAACTAAGTATATATACTGTATATTCTGTGTTGTATAATGAAAAACGTTACTCATACTCTAGAACATGCTAGTTAAGCATTTTAGCCCAAAAACAATGGCTAGCCCATCATCTATTCCCCCCTGCACCACGACATGGCCAATTTATTGACCCAATCGCTGCCGCACGCACATAGCCATCATCTTCCAGAAAAAAGTCCGATGCAACAGGAGACGAACCAGAAGTGCCATGTTCGCCAGATCTCTTCGCATCATCTCTTTGCATCGTACGTGACGCGAACCGCTAGGCGGCCAGGACCGGGCGGGGCTGTTGCCGTCGCCTGATCGGCGATCAATTGCAGGGTGTGCGGCGGTGGTGGTACGGATCGGCGGACGGCGCGACGAATCCATCCCTGATCCCTCGCCCCCTTTTGGTTTTGAACTTCTGATCACTGCAGTTGGCGGGTAGCAGCCTAACAGGCATCGATTCAATTCCCAAGACACAGCCTGGCAATTCACAAATTCAACTATTGAAGGTATAATTGCTAATTAAATTTAGTAGTCCCTCAACTTCGAAAATTGGGCTCTCTCCTCCTATCGATTCATAGTCGAAGTATCGAACTAAATTCATCTAGCACTGAAGTATCGAACTAAATTCATCTAGCACTGCAGGCAGCCAGGCAGGGCGCGGTTTTGTTCTTGTATTCTTACCAGTTGTCTTTCTATTTAATCATAATAAAATTAGAGACTTGCCTGTGGTCAGTTAAAAATTGATTAGACATGAAAACTTGCAATTTGTCATTCAAATTTGGAATTGAGAATCTTTATAAATTGTGATTTCGTTACAATGTGCATTATCTATAAAGATTAGTACTCTGAAACTTGAGCACTTGCACTTTTCAGGTCTAAAACATGAAGCAACAAGGGGCAAAAATACTTGAATGATTGATTGGCACATTCATTGAAAGGGAATTCTTCTTGCAAGTTAAGGATGAGGATACCATCACTCATTTTCAAAGCACAAGAAATTAAAGACCGTGTATTCAAATTTTCAGAACATTTTTATGGAAGCCCATAGCCTTCTTTTTGGAGCATATGACCGATTATAGTAGCATATTGTACTAGTTGTAAAATATATAAAAGAGATCCAATAGCATATTACAGTCATAAAAATGATCATAGCTTAGAATTGTTCAACAGATAGAAGTAATAATTGTTCAACACATCATGGCAAAATCTAAGATATATAGAGGATAGAAAACAACAAATGATAAGAAAGCTTACATATTATAGGATAACTTTGTGATCTTTGGTGCTTTGAAAATGAGTGATGATGTCCTCATCCTTAACTTGCAAGAAGAATTCCCTTTCAATGAATGTGCCAATCAAGCATTCAAGTATTTTTGCCCCGTATTGCTTCATGTTTTAGACATGAAAAGTAAAAGTGCTCAAGTTTTAGAGTACTGATCTTTATAGATAATGCACATTGTAACGAATTCACAATTTATAAAGATTCTCACATTCCAAATTTGAATGACAAATTGCAAGTTTTCATGTCTAATCAATTTTTAACAGAAATGCTAACGCCCACACGTGTGGGCGTTCACCATCTTGACCACACGCAGGCATCACCGTTGGCAAATTCGTGCACGAATCTTGGCACAATCCGGTCGGTTTTCTGCGCCACGTAGGACGAGGCGCGTGTGCGGTGTGCGAGACGGTTCGCCTGCACGTTGGTTGCCCTCCCGCGGTCAGCGGTTGCCACTCGGGGCGTGCGGTGGAACTGCAATGCGCCCGCACGCCACGCTCCGACCGCGGTTGACGTCAAACACGTCGCACACCTCTGTCCCCTCTCCCCTCACGGTCCATTTACTCACCCCGCACCGCATTTACTGGCAGAACCCACTCGCAGTTCAGACCATTGGAGGAGAAGGCGAGGGGAGAAGGCGACGGCGGAGGCAGAAGAATCGACGGTGTTCGCGGCCGTCGGTGGTGCTCGCCGGAACGGAGGGGCTTCGCCGGAGCTCCTGCGGATTGAAGGTAATGCTCGCTGCAACTCTCGCAATCCCTTCCTGCATTCCCCCCCTTCCCTCCTTGTTCGATTCCTCGATCGAGATTCGTAGAGATTCAGGCGATTCGGCGATGCGTCGGCGTTCCCGCCGGCGGCGAAGTCGCCTGCTAGCTGTTTTTGGTGGCACTGGGCAGTTTCGTCGCCGCCGCGGCGGCAGCATCGTCGGTGTGGTTACGCCTGTCCGGAGGCACGTACTAGCCTTGCCTTTGGATTGGACAGGTATCTCCCAGTTTGTTTGACGCGCATTGGTTCGAATTTGTGTTTGCAATCAGTTCGGGGGAGAATTTTGAGGTTGAATTTGAAGTCGCTGTAGTTACCATTGAACCCTAGATCTAGTTAGTTGGTTTTTGAAACTGTAGTATGAGGCGAACTTGGTAGGTTGATTAACTATCATGATTGTATGGCAACTAACTTCCTGAACAAATGTGATAGTTGCCACAAACGTGTTTTCCCATGCGGCAACAAATTACTGAAATGACTGTGATAGTTGCCACAAATAAGCTTTCCCATGCGGCAACTATTTTTTTGAATGACTATGGTAGTTGCCACACACATGCTCTTCCATGTGGCAACTAAATTTGCTGAATTACTGTGATAGTAGCCACAAACATGCTTTTCCTTGTGGCAACTATTTTTTCTGAATGATTTGTGATAGTTGCCACACTGTGATAGCTGCCACAATCGGTAGTCAATGCAGTTTCAGCAGCCAACTACACTGGACGACAACTAATGTTCACATCAAGTGTGCATGTTGCCACTTGGATAGTATATTCATGTGGCAAATAGAATGTGAAGACACTGTCTGTTGCCATTCTGCAGATAGGACAGTGTGGCAAATTGGATGCATAATATGGCAACCAAATTTGCATATCAATTGTGTCAGATGCCATACATATGCTTTGCATGTGGCAAGTTTTTGGCTGACCACATCATGTTTTATTGCCATTCTACTATCAGTACAATCGGTAGTCAATTGTGTCAGATGCCATACATATGCTTTGCACGTGGCAAGTTTTTGGCTGACCACATCATGTT